GATATAGTTTGTAAGTCTGGTAGAATATACATCAAATAGTGTGATGGCTAATGGGGCTAATGAGAAGTGATGAATGGTAAATGGGTGTGTCTTCCATTTCAGTACAGTAACATTTTAAATTTTTTTTGTATTTAAAAATAACCGTTCATACAATATGAATTTATAAGATGGTTGCACAGTAAAAAAATACCCACTGTGCCAGTTCTCCCTTAATACTAAATTTTTTTAATGTTGATTCATTTTTGAGAGACAGAATATGAGTGGGGGAGGGACAGAGAGAGAGAGGGAGACACAGAATTTGAAGCAGCCTCCAGGCTCCAAGCTGACAGCACAGAGCCCAACCCGGGGCTTGAACTCACAAACCATGAGATCATGACCTGACCTGATTAAGCCAAAGTCACATGCTTAATCAACTGAGCCACCCAGGCGCACCTCCCTTAATTCTAGAAGGGACTACAATCCAGTTATCAAATCTACACCCTTGGAGTTCCTTGTTTACTTTAAACACTGTATTTCTTGAAAGGGGGAGGGGGAGTCATTTCTTTCTGCCTGCTATTTTCCTAGGATATGTAAAGTCCTATTCCTTGTGATAATATCTGAAAATGAACATAATCCAAAGGTCCTCACTTTGCAATGTTTGCAGTAAGATTTCAGCATCTTAGCATTTAAGTGTTTTCAGATTACATCCATTTAAACATCTGTGATTCATTATTGTAAATATCACAGTTGTGTGGGGCCATATGCTTCAGCTTGTAGCATATATATATATATATAAAGAAAAAGCACTAGCAATAAATTTTAGGAACCTTAGACTTGCCGTGGGTACGTGCAAAAAGAACATTTTCAGACACTTGGGGCCTCCTATAATCACAGTAATATACGTGAGATCCCATATAAGAATCCTTCAATTGTGAAAGTTGCCAGTTTTGATGGAAAGCTATGATTTACATTTGGCTCATGCTCATCCCATGATAATTCAGGTAGGGTGGAAAGCAGAACAAAGGCCTTCAGATGCAGTGGCTTTTACTTCCTAAGGAAATGAACACGGGCTATTGTTGAGTGAAGAAATCACAAGAAAGCGGGACACCTTTAACAACTGATGAGACACTCTTGGCAGGCCTCCTCCTCCATTCCCACGAGGCTGAAGCTAGAGACGATGCCATATGGCATAAGGGATGCAATAAAAATCTCTTGGCAACTGGAGGATGAATAGACATGACCTACGGGGATGATCATTTTCTTCCTTACATCAGAAAACCATATATGAATACAAGAGTTAATTGTACTTCATGTATTATAAGCCAGATCATCTTATTTTAATTTCCTGATAAGGTTTTGTCAACTAGATAGAACCAATTTGTTATCACAGCTGGCGAGTGTCTCACCCACTACAATTAGGGAAGAGCTGAATGAATTAATTGGTTGCAACCAAAGAGTTGGTTAATATTTCTGATTGCCAGCTCTTGCCAGGGTTAGCACAAAGCAGAGCCAGAAAGATGAAGATAAAGCTTTTAAGAGGCTTTTGCCCTGAAAGAACTCCCAGGTTACCAAAGGACAGGTCAGGAAGAAATTAGGAAGGTGTAGAAGCCGGTGTTCCACACTCTATGGAAGTTGACTGGCAAAGCTGCTGGTTATTATCAAGCCACCTACCTTGTCAATATCTTGAGTATATCCTTTAGGAAGGATTGTTGCCTCAGACGGCGTATTTGGGCTCCCAAGCACAAGTACATCTTCTGGAAACGTTTCTAAACCCTCTGGAATGCAGGTGGCATAAGGCCATCTCTGTGCAGAAGCATTCTTGGTATCCACAGGGAATGAAGGATGGGTTGTTCAAAACGCCTCAGGATGTTTTATACAGAAGATACTCATTCACGCACTGTCTACAGATTATTTATGAGTTTTATGAAAATCAAACCCTACTGAAGACCATAGATCAGACTCCGCTGCTGTCCTCCCTCTATGATGTTCTGTTTGCTGTGATCTGGGAATTTGTGACGGCTTTGTGGTACAATAGCAGGGGTTGGTCTGCAGAAACTCCAAATCTCAGTAGTTCTCTGATAAAAGTTTCAGATAGATTGCTGATAGCAAATTCCACAGCCAGCTTTTCTCCCAGCCTTTAAAAGCTCTTGAATAGTTTTAGATGTTCTGGGACTGCATAATGATCTGGTGGGGCCCCATTCATGCATTTTCTTCACCCTTCTTCAGAGTTTAGGTGTTACCTAAAATTTGACCTACAGAGACTTCTGGTTTCTGCTCTATGAGTTTTCCCCTGATGGATCTAATCACTTACTTCAAGATTGCACTCAACTCTGCCTTTGACACCTCTTTCAACCCTAGACAGACCATTTAACTTCTGTCAAGCCATATGTTCCTAGGCTGTAGAATTTCTAACACTTACCTTGGATTCTACCAATCCTGAAACACTCCACCCGCTATGTCTCCTCCCAGAACCTTATTTCTAGAAGTTCTTTCTTGCCCTCAAGGCAAGGTAAACAAAAGCAAAAATAAACTATTGGGATTTCATCAAAATAAAAACTTCTGCACAGCAAAGGAAACAATGAACAAAACAAAAAAAGCAACCTATGGAATGGGAGAAGATACCTGCAGTTGACATATCCAATAAAGGGTTAGTATCCAAAATATATAAAGAATTTATAAAACTTAACACATGAAAAATGAGTGATACATTTAAAAATGGGCAGAAGACATGAATAGACATTTTCTCAAAGAAGATATAGATGGCCAACAGACACACAGAAAGATGCTCAACATCACTGACCATCAGGGAGATGCAAATCGAAACTACAATGAGATATAACCTCAGACCTGTCAGAATGGCTAAAATTAACAACACAAGAAACAGCAGGTGTTATAGAGGGTGTGGAGAAAAGGGAACCCTCTTGCACTTGGTGGGAAGACTAACTGGTGCAGCCACTCTGGATAATAGTAAGTTTCCTCAGAAAGTTACAAATAGAACTATTGTACCATACAGCAATTACACTACTATGTATTTACCTAAAGAATACAAAAATATTAATTAAGGGGTATAAATGCACCCCGATTGTTTATAGGAGCATTACCTATAATAGCAAAATTATGGAAACAGCCCAGGTTTTCATCATTCCATCAAGTGATGAATGGGTAAAGAAGATATGGTAGATAGATGGATAGATATATAGATACATATGTGGTAGATAGATGGATATAAATATAGATATATAGATATAATGGAATATTACACAGCCATAAAAATGAAATCTTGCTATTTTCAATGAAGTGGATAGAGCTAGAGAGTGTTATTCTAAGTGAACTAAGTAAGTCAGATATACCAATACCATATGATTTCACTTTTGTATGGAACTTAAGAAACAAAACAAATGAGCAAAGGGGAAAAAAAGAGAGAGAGAAAGAGAGAGAGCCAAACCAAGAAATAGAGTCTTAATTATAGACAACAAGCTGATGGTAACCAGAATGGAGATGGGTAGGAGGATGGGTTAAATAGGTGATGGGGATTAAGGAGTACACTTTAGGAGTACACTTGTTGTGATGAGCACTGGGCATATGGAATTGTTGAATCACTACATTGTGCACTTGAAACAAATACTACATTGTATGCTAATTAACTGGAATTTAAATAACAACTTTTTTTAAAAAGCTTAACAGTTACTTCTCCCAGAATCCACCTTCCTCTTCCCCATTTCAACATTTAGAGATCATTGTTCACTGAGCACTGCTTCAGATTATAGATTATAAGATCTTTAGGAGATGGGACCATGTCTTCTCTATTATTGATAACACTTTATACATTTATTTTAATACTTATAAATCAGAAGCTGATTCAATACACGTTCTCTGAAGACTCATTTTGCAGGACTTTTGTTTGCTCATCTTGGACATTTTTATTTATTTCCAAATGTTGGGCTACCACTGCTGCACTCCTACCTGCTTTCATCTCCACACCTCCCTTATCCTTTCCAAAACTTTCCATGGGAGTGTAGTAAAAGATCAATTGATCATTCCACCTAGAGTTCTAGGTAAGAGATTGGGTCAACACTAAAGGCCCTTTAGATCCATGATGCTGTCTTGCTAAATTGATGATGGGCAAGGTTATAATTAAATCTTCAAACTCTCAACATCCATTAAAAAATGTGCTTATGTGATTTGTATATTTTCACTATTTTGCTTTTGTATTAGTATATATATTTACCTGAAAACTATAGTTCATTGCTTCAAACGTTTCTCATGTGTTGCTGCATTCTTAAACATGATTTTATTATGGCTTAAGGCCAAAACATTGTTGAGAAGAAAACATCCAACTTTATAATAAAATATAGGGAAAATAAACTGAAATTTGCTTTCTAAGCAATTTTTAGAGAACACATCTCATTCATAAAGTGAGAAATACTTGTTGATAATCCCTCATCTTGGATGCTTTCTGATAATGATGTGCCTGCTCATTAGTTGACTTTCTCTTGCTGCTAGAAATAAATTATTTTATTTACCTATTGATTTGTTTGCTTGTAATTTCTACCCTGTGGTGCTTGTTTGGTCTTTTGATACAATGAAGAAATGGAACACATCCTTCAACAGGGCAATCCCCCAGATGGTTGTGTGGTCCAGTCTTCTAGACTCTGAATATTATGAAAGCAGATAATCTACCGTATTCATCTTTCTGTTGGCATTTATCCCTTACTGCCTACTATCCTGCACATTGTAAGTGGAAAAAAAATATTTTTAATGGGTTGCTAGATAATATGTTGAGATTTAGAATAATAGGATTTCCCAATTTTAAGAGACATCATCCAACATCAGAATCTCTTCTACACCATTCCTGCTGAATAGCCATTTAGGTTCTACTTGAAAGCATCTAGTAACAAGCAAATTATTTCATCCAGAAATACTAGCCCTTCCAAATGGAAATCTGAATTTCTTCAGGCTTTACTAGTGTCTGAACAATAATGAGCTCATGCAAATAACAATCTTTGCACAATACATTCTTGTAGCCCTCACCTGCACAGTTGTGAAACTTCAACTTACCCCCTCCCCTGGCCATCATTAAGATGATTTTGGAAAGACCTCACACAAACTCACAAATTATTCTCCCATGAACCTTCCCTCTGGCCTCTTTGTTGCTTAGTGTACCTGAAAATCTCTTGAAGGAAGTGTCTCTTCACCACTCTTTGTGAGAAGGCTGCTTCTCAAAGTCCATCTCTAGGATCTTCAAAGCCATGAACCTCCAAGATGCCAGGAGACACAAAACTGTTGCCTCCATTGTACCAGAGCAAAGTCAAGGTGTACTCCATTTAGAAATGAGGCCAAGCCACCATTAACCATCACAGTTTATAGGGAACCAGGCTAAAAGAGCTTGAGATTACCTAAATTGCCTATGGTTTGTGAATCTTTAAGCTTGTATATATAGCTTATTCTTTTCTTGAACTACAAACCCATGGGGATGGAGTAGGAACCAATTTTGAGTTCTGTCTTCCTTCTGTTTCTGCCTCTCTCTAAGTGACCATATAGAAGTTTCCCTCCTCACAGGTCCCTTCCTCCCTTCGCGGATCTGCCCATGCAATCGACCGGTATTTGGGAAACCACAGGTCTTATTGCATCAGACACGATCAGGATCTGAGTCACGATTTAGGTTCAGCCAGGACACTCTGCCACATGTCTCCAGATGACTCCAACTGCAAGGCCAAAACTCTTGAATGTTGCCAGGGAGCAAGGCTCTCTTCCCATTAACTTATCTGGTACACAGAAATAGGGAGGGAGACACGTTTGCACATAATTACTAGATAACTCAGAAACTAAAGGCTATGTAAGAGACATGGGCTAGTCCTACGGAAATCACTGAGAGGGGATCTCTGTAAATCTGAGACTTGGTGATTCTCAAAGCTGCTGAGTCTGTGATTAATATTTCGCTGATTGGGTGCCTTTCAATCGACTAATTCAAATCTTCATATGAGTTTGGGCCATCATTCTCAGTTTTGTTTGGGGAGTTTCAAATTTGCTTAGCTGTCAGGTTGCAGTTCTGCTGTTTATTCATTCAATGAACAAGGTTGAGTGTATATTGTGTCAAGCGCTATGCCATATAAAGTAATTCCAATTTGAAATACAAATTCATAGTGATTATAAGTACCATGGGATAGACGATGCACAGTATTCTTTCAGAAAACAATCTGCCATGTTTTAAAGAATCTGTAACAAAAGGAAAATGTAACCCTGACAGAAAAGACTAGTTTGAGAGCTAGCAGCTCAATTTTTAATGGTAGGCAGAAAATCCCCTGAAAGTAGATGTGGGCCCTGTCTTGTTCCAAGAGGAAGCCCTTAAGGGTTTACATGGCAAAAATAGGTTTCTGTAGATCACCTGACAAGGTCATTCGTTATAATATCTTTGTCTAGATAGAACTGAAACTCTATTTTATCAAAGTTGGAATCAAAATGTAAGATAGTATTAAGACTGTGCATTCTGCACTCATCAAATCTACAAAGACTTTGCAGGTGAAATGTGTTCCTGAGCTAATGAGTCATGCCCACAACCTTACAGAAGTTGTGCAGATATCAGTGCTGATTCCAGGCCAACAGTGGAGTACAGGGTACCGTTCAACGTGTTTAGGTATCAGGAGGGTAGAATAAGTGAAGACTGGGTGAGGTGCCTATTGTATCACCTGGAGATCTGGACCAATGTGGGTAGGACCGAACATATGTTAATGAAAGTTTGATTGGCTAGAACATTTGAGAAATGAAGGGGTTCAGGGAAACCATAGGAAATGCTTTCTGTTTCTCTCAGTTGGGCAGATTCATAGAGCCTCTGGACTAAGCCTTATGAACTCTTTTAAAGGAAGTTGGTACCTCTGGATGTCAGTGGGATACTGAGGGATGTGAAAAGCAATTAGTCTTGCTCTGTATCCTGGGGAGAGTCCATCTGATGTTTCTGAATTAAATGCTACTTTAGTTATCAGAAAGGCACAGCTTTCCATGTCCTAGCAAGGACTAGCAAATGAACAAATATGTAGATCTTCTTACTATTGGAACAACTGGATTCCGTTTTACTAATGAGGCCAGGGGTACTGGGATATCTGATATATCCTAAGGGAGAGTAAACAATTTACATTCTGCTAGACAGAGTCATTTCCTGGTCTCAGTGGCGTGCTGGAGCCAGCTAATATGTGTGCTCCTGAGAACTGGTTGTTAAGTTTCTAGAAAATGCAAGCCAAGTGAAGACACATTGGTAGCTGAAATCAGCCATATTTAGAATATTTACACCACAGACATTGGCAAATGCTATGAATTAGGACTTTTCCCCTAACCAACATAACTGCTGAAACAAAGCCACTCCCTTCTGTGTGTGACTAGAGATTGCTAAAAGCAGATTATCTGTAGATCCAAGCACATCTATCTGTGGGAGAGATTCGGCTTCTAGGAAGACTGATTGAAAGCCCATGGGCTACTGATCCACACACAAACTCAGCCAACTGGACAAGCAGTCTAACCACCAACTCTAAGAGTTACACATATCTCTCACATGCAGACCAATTTTCAAGTCTCTACAAATGTATATATGTATTTAAGACCATTTGGCCATCGAAGATGTGAGCGTATGGATCATAGACTGACCCCCAAACACTTATAAAAGTAGGACAAATTGCATATTTTAGTACATACCTATCTACATGAGCAAGACTGATCTATATTTTGCAGACAAATTTAAATCCATTTGCATTTTCGTATTTCCTGGGATCATAATACAGCTTAATTTGCTTGCTCACACATTTCAAGATGGTAAGAAATCTATGTCTTTTGGATTTTCATCCTCAAGAATCACATTCAAAAGAAAGAAATAAAAAAGTATAAAATCAAGGTCAGGAAGATTGAACCCCTTAATTCATGTGCCAAACTTCCCATTTCAATTGTGGTTTTGTCTCCCGGCTGAAGTTTGTCTTTTTGTGACATTTGTATTAAGCCCAGAGGACATTTTGAGTGGAAACATGCTGAAAGCATAATTGAAACTCTGAGTGGTGCCATTTGTCTCATTTGCATTTTTCCCCCAGGTGGGGAGTTTTCACTTCCCCCTTTCTTCTCCTGGGGTGTTCAAAGATTATCGCAAAGAATGATGTTGTGCACTTGATTCCAATAAATCCCTATGTACAGTATATTATATGTATATTTTTTTATTTCCAGAAGCTATTTTAAATGCCATAGTGATAAACTATGTTAGGAAGTCCTTTGTAGGTTCATATTAGCACAGAAAGTTTATTTTTCCTCCTCAGATAGAGATTTTGAACATTTGTTCACAAATTTAATTGTTTATTAGAATGTTTTTCAATTATCGTCATGGTGTCATTCCAAGCTATTGAGGGGGATGGTCTCTATAGAAACACATTTTTTAAAAATTGGTAGATGGGGTGCCTGGGGCCTCAGTCAGTTAAGTGTTCTGACTTCAGCCCAGGTCATGATCTCATGGGGCCTGAGTTCAAGCCCTGTGTCAGGCTCTGTGCTGACAGCTCAGAGCCTAGAGCCTGCTTCAGATTCTGTGTCTCCCTCTCTCTCTGCCCCTCCTTCTCTCTCTCTCTCTCTCTCTCTCAAATAAAAAAATACAATTTAAAAAAAATAGACACAAACTATTCAGTTTCATCCTTAATATGTTCTTTGAAACCTGTGTCCCCAAACATGCACTGACTCAATCTCTATTAAAAAGTTTGAGGGGTGCCTGGGTGGTTCAGTCAGTTAATTGTGAGACTTGGTTTTCAGCTCAGGTCATGATCTCACAGTTTAATGGGTTCAAACCCCATATCAGGCTCTGTGCTGACAGCGCAGAGCCTGCTTGGGATATTCTCTTTCTCTCTCTCTCACTCACTCTCTCCACCCCTCCCCCATTCATGCTGTCTCTGTCTCTCTCAAAAATAAATAAATAAAACCTTAAAAAAATTTGAAGTTTGAGAATCACGGATATCGTGGTTGTGTCAGCAAAGCTAATAATATGAAACAACAATGCAAGGCTGAGGCTATCAGTTGCACCCTTTAATAGGGATTTTAAGGTAAAATTATAATGGGGGGGGAGTAGAGTCTGTTTTTCTAGGAGGAAAAAGGAAAAAAAGTATGGTGAATTGTTTCTCTTTTTATTGAGTATTTTTCATATATTTCAGATCTGCCATTTACCTATGGCCAAAGTTGCTGTCTCTGGCAAAGTCTAGATCTATGCCTTTTCTAAGGTTTGCATCTCTCTCAAACCTGAATTATTTATGTTAAATATATTTTTTCAAATATCAGAAGGCCTGCTGGATTATATCAAATAATCATATGGAGTTCTATTGGATCCCTTGTAGATTATGAACCTGAGTAGGAGAGAGCCAGGCATGAATTTATCCAAATGAGGAATGTGCAGAGAGGCATGGAGCCCAGTTCAGCATTTCGGGAGGGCTCTAGTGGCTGCAAAGACAAATTTTTGTTTTCATTTGACTCTTTAGATTTCATTTAACATTTTTAGAGATAAAGAACATCTGGTACATCCAACATGTATTATAAATGTTATCTTCAAATAATTTGTGAGAATAAATAATATGAGACAAGTAAAAGAAAGATATTAACTGAATAATGGATCATCTATGAAAATGTGGCAGAACTGTAGGCTGGGAGCCTTGAAGGAAGGATTACATTCACCGTGGCAGACTAGCATAGACTAACTGCATGGCCCTAACCTTATTCAACCTCCCCAAGTCTCAGTTCCTAGAGGGAAAGAAAAAATTACCTACCTTGCAGTGGTTATGTGAAGATTCATTGCAATCATGAGTGTGAATCTCTCAGTGCAATGTCATGCTTTTAGGAAAAATAATACCTTAGATTGGTAGGAAGTTATCTATAGAGACAATCCATTTATCTGTTGAGTCTGCTGTGGGCAGGGCCTGTAATTTTACTCCTTTGATGTCATCTTTTCCTTCACAACCTCTCAAGGCTGGGATTTACCAAGAAAAGTAGGAGGATTCAAAGATGGGCCAAGGCTGGATTGGAATCATCTGCCTCACACCCTTGGCCCCCAGCTGAGGCACCTATAGTAACCATCTCCATGGCAACCACGCTCGGCCCAGCAGGCCAGAGCATGGGTACCTGACTAGAAAGAGAAGGAAGGACCCAGGAGGCAGGTGAAAATCCAGCTGGTGCAGGAAGCTGTGCAGGAAAAGGAAAACATCACTTCCTTAAAGCCCGCAATTATAGAAGTAATGATGGTGATAATTCTTATTCATAGAACACCATGCTAACTGTCATGTAGGTATATATGATCATGTTGAATGCTCACCAGAAGAATCACAGTACCTGTGAGGGAGGTGCTATTATGTCCCACTTTATAGACGAAGTCATTGAGGTGCAAAGAGGATAGATGGTCTGCCCAAGGTCACAGGGCTGCTACACATGAACCAGGATTGGAAAAGGGCTTAGATGCCTACCATTAAAATGGCCCTTTCTTAGGGCATGGGAATAGCAGTTCCTGGCATGCTAGGTCCCAAACCTCCTCTCTGTGCCAAGGATGGATGGGAAATGTAGAAACCTGGCATCTCAACAAGCAATCCATTGTCTGAGGTCCTGCATTAGATTTGTCTGGGGGAGCTTGAAAGAGATACTAATGTCCAGACCCCAGACCAGTCCAGTTATATCAGAATCTTGGTTGGGAGTTGAGCAGGTATTTCTATTCTTTTTAGTGCTCTCCAGGTGATTCTCATAGCCTTGAAAAAGAACCACAGTCTAGAGCATCTTCTCCTGAGTTGGTAAAGGTATCTATCTAAAACAAACAAGGACCCAATTTTGCAATCCTTAGCTATTTGATAGTGCAAGCTGGGAAGAAAACTAGACTACATTGGGTGTCTATGATGTGCCGGATCCTGAATATGGATTTGATCCTTCAGTACGTCCTTACCTGGCACTTCTGAGAAGCCTAGAGGGATGAATGAGTGGCGTCAGGACGTCAGGATGGGGCAACTTCCCATTTCCCTCTTATGCATCATTTCCCAGGAAATGGATGCACTGAGACCTTGAACTGTAGAGGCAGACAGATGGACTGAGGACAGGTTCCTGCTTTCTCTGAGTGTATGCACTTTAGCAAGTTAAGCAATCTCTCCGGGACTCAGTCTGTTTTTCTGTAAAATGGAAAGTGACACTTACAGAGCATGTATTTTCATTGGGGCTATACTTCTGCCAAAGGAGTGGCATGGGGGATGGGCAAATATTGCACTTTGTGTGTGTTTGTGTAAAGCGCAGAGGCACATACCATAAGTAAACAGATATGCAGTATATCTGTGCCATTAAAATTTCATGACAGTGGTGGCAATTAGGCAAACATTTTAATCCTGGAGTGGGGTACATAGTGAAAAGCAAAAAGGAAAGTAGTGCTCTTGGTTAGAATTGCTAGGAGACTAAAAGAAGGGACTGAATACAAGGTCCTTGGCACAGAGCCTGGTGCTCAGATGCCACTCAATAAATGATAGATGTTGTTACTGTCATTTGTCAAAACATTCATTCAACATGTGCGCACTGATCCCAGCTTGGGACTATGCACAGCATCACTGGGATGATGAAGATAGATTAGAACCACCTCTGACTTCGCCAATGAGCCAAGTCAAAGCTAAGCATGGGAGGCCAAGTGCTTTCATAAAGGGAAGCACACAGGGTCTGGGGAACTAAGAGGGCCACATGGACATTCATTTCCTATCTGTCTCCAGTCCTGGGCTTAACCAAGACCAGAGGCAACTAGGGGCTTTCTTTCTCAATGCCTCCCCTCGCCTAGAATGGCAATAATGAAAGAAGTTCCACCAGTCGGCCACCACTAGAGAATCACTTTGCCTGGAAAGCAATCGAATTACATGTAATCATTATTGATGGCTTCCTGTATGGAAAAGCATTCTGTTCATTGGTGGAAATAGAGGGATGAATAAAAAAAATAAGATTCATCTTCTGCTCTTGGTTTTGATGAGGAAAACAGATATATAAAGTAAACATATTGATGTAACATAATATAAAAGACCTCATGTGCAGGAAAGTCTGGGAACACAAAGAGGGTATTTGGACAACTGCCCGAGCTGACTCTTAAAGAATGAGTAAGAGTTAACAGGTTAAAGAAGGTAGGAAGTAACTTCTGCACATAGGGAGCAATATGAGCAAAGGGGTGGGAGAATACAGGTGCAGGCTGGCACAGGTGTGGGTAATGAGTGAGGCACAGAGTGAAGGCAGAGGCCAGGGGGGAGGCCAATGGGCAGCTTAGCCATGGAGGACCTTGAGTCCTAGCATCATTTGCAATGGGGAGCTGTAGTTGTATGAGACTCAGGCAGAGACAAGTTGGTTCTATAGTTGTGATAGGAGGGCCCAAAGCTTTCTTGGAGGAATAAGACTTTATGTGGCCTTCCAGACCCCACATTTCCAGCTTATCTCCACTCTTTCTTCCCTGCTGTCTCCCTTGCTCTCTCTGCCCATCCCACTGGTTTATTTACAATTCCCTGAATGCCACTGGACCTTTGTATATGTCGTGGTTCTTCCTGCCTGGAATAGGTCCCCTATTACTTATAAGGTATTGAATTAATGTCTGTTTCTCTATTTGCACCTCAACTCAGGGACTATGTCCATCTTTGCCCAATTACTCGGCTACCAAGATGGTCAAAAGAAGTGAACAAATGTCTGAGAACTATAGACTCACAGAAATCTACCTGTGTGCCTGTACAAAGATGTCCCTAAAGCTGGCTTGGCAGCCAGAAAAGGTGCTGGGGCCCTGATGCAGAGGATCCTCAATGGCACACTGTGCAGCGTGCTTCAAGGCTGGGCAGGAATACAGAAGCAGGACTGAGTGGGGTGCTCGCATCCTTATATTCATACGATGGGTTTTTTGATTACATAATATCTACAGCCCCTATAGGGCTGGAACTCACATCTCCTGAGATCAAGGGTCCCATGTCCCACATATTCTTCCAACTGAGCCAGTCAGGTGCCTCGGGTTCTGATGGGATTTTAGGAGGGCTGTATTTTAAAGTTTATCTGTTGGGGTCCCTGGGTGGCTCCATTGGTTAAGCATCTGCCTTCTGCTCAGGTCATGATCTCATGGTTTCTGAGTTTGAGCCCCTGTTGGGCTCTCTGCTGTGTGCTCAGAGCCTGCTTCAGATCCTCAGTTCCTCCAACCACTTGTGCTCTCACTCTAGCTCTCTCTTTTTCTCTCAAAAATGAATAAATAAGTAAATAAAGTTTATTTACTTATTTCTCTGTCAGTGCAGGACCTAACATGGGTTTCCAACTCAGGAACCATGAGATCATGACCAGAGCCAAAATCAAGAGTCAGTTGCTTAACCAAAATCAAGCCACCCAGGCGCCCCAGGAGGGCTGTATTTTATATGAGGCTTTGTCTTTATTGAAACATATAGTTGTGAAAGGAAAATGGACCAGGGCTCAAATCTTGGTTTTGTCATTTACAAACTATGTGTGGGGCACCTCCTTTGCCCTCTCCAAACATCAGTTACCTCATCTATAAACTGGGGTCAAAAAAGCACCTCATTCATTGTGCAGATTAAATAAGATAATGTACATAAAATGATTAACACTGAGCCTTGCGTGTGGAAAGTGTTCAGTTCACATTAGCCGTTATCATTATCAACTGATATGGTTATTATCACCATAAGAATTATCTCCCAGGATAGAATGATCAGATTAGTTCATCAAATATTTATATGGCTTTAACAGTGTGCTCAAACCAAGGTAGATATTGTCACCAAAGACACACAAGAAAGTTCCTAGCATTTGCTGAGAGCCCCAAACTGGAAATAGCCCTGATACCCATCAAGCAGAATAGGGATGCCTGGATGGCTCAGTTGGTTAAGCATCTGACTCTTGATTTTGGCTCAGGTCATGATCTCACAATTCATGGGATTGAGCCCCACGTTGGGCTCTGCGCTGATGGCATGGAGCCTGCTTTGGGTTCTCTCTCTCCCTCTACCTCCTTCTCTCCCTGCCCCAAAATAAGCAAATACACATTTTTTAAAAAAGAGTATATAAATTCATTATAGCCACATAGTGGAATACTACACAGTGGTTCAGATTAACTGCTTTGACTTGCAGCCACATGGATGAATCTCATAGCCATAATACTGAGTGGAAGAATCCAAATACGAAAGAGCACACACTGGATGATCCTATTTGTATAAGTACAAATGCAGGTGGAATAGATCTATGGCATCAGAAGTCAGCATAGGGCGGCCTCCACGGAGGAGGGTGGGAATTGTACTCAGGAGGGAGGGGAAGGGCTAGTATTTTGTGTCTGGGCCTTGGCACCCAGGACATGGGCACACCCATGTTATGGAAATACATCAAGTTGTACTTTCTAATTTAGGTGCTTTTCTATATCAATGTTATGTTTCAGTTAAAGGTTTACTAAACAAACCTATTCAGCAGAGAGCTAAGAAAACAAAAGTGGGGTGAGGAAAGAAACAAGTAGTACAATTGTGTGCTTGCCCATAAAAACAGCTGCTTTTCCTATTCCTACCCACACATGACTAAGCCATTCAACTATAGGAATTCCATTCACATCTATCGCACCACTGCATTAATCTGGGCCAGACATCATTGGTACACCACCAGACTAACTGGTTTTCTTGACCTCCCTTCTTTCCTCCAAACCACTCTGTAGAACCCAGAGCCTCTACTATCTTAAAAGGTCCTATTCATCTCTGCGTCCTCAGTCCTTAGCATCTGCCTGGAACATGAAAGGTGATCCAGGATGGATCTAGAATGAAGTCCTCCAGCACAATCGAAGCCAGAGGGCTACAAGGACATGCCATGGGACAAGGGGGAGCATTTGTAGACCTGGGTGGGGAGCACTAATCCACATTTAATGGTCAGATGTATCTCTGGAACCAAGCTGTCCAACCTACTCATACCCTTTCTGTTTTTGTTCATCTGTTTTTTGTTTTGTTTTGTTTCCCCAGTGACCTTCAGTGACTGCAAGGGAAATAACAAGCTA